CAATAAAAAAATGAAAACCATAAACCCAATGTTTTTGCCTAATATACATCGATTCTCAGTATACGAGACTAACTGCCCTAAAAAGGAGATTGAAGGAAGCCCTGGATCATAACTTGCTAAATTCTACTTTCCAAATTAAATTAATACAACACTAAATTAAAAATTGACGATAATTACAGCATCATAGTATTAACTTTGAATTCAACAAATATTAATTTTTGGAAAATGACAAATAAAGAGTCCATGCTATTTTCATTTTGCATGTTTTATTTAACACAAACTTGCAATACAATTTACAATCATCATAATACGATTTTAGCAGCCATACTTTTTTTAGTTATTATAAGAACATCCAGATAATGTCCGGTTAATATTGGTATCGATGCTTATCTGACACGAAATAAGTTGTGTATCAACATAATGTAAGCATCTCTAACCATTAATGTGTAGAAGAGAACACAAGTAACCAAGGCTACAAGAGGGGGATGAACGATTAAGTCAGTGGAAGTCAAATAATCTAATCTTGATAGATCTGGCGGTCTATCTGACCTGTTAGGGTCGGTCCAACCGAGGCATGGCCGGTCTCTTAATGTCAAATGTCAATTTCTCTTATGCCAACCGTTGGATCAAGTTGAAAAGTTGACAAAATAAACTAGACAAACCAAGAAACAACTCCACCGGAGGGATATGTAAACTAAAAAACGGTTTAAGAGAAAACACCCTCGAAAGTCAGCTGTCTCGGAATTTCAGCAAATCTGAACTAAACATAAAACTTAAGCAAATTCGAATCAAGCACGAACCAACGAATGAAACTTTCCAGATCTGATCAATGAAGTATTAGAAAGGTTTTCGATGGACTAAATTGAACAAAATCGTAGCAAAACGAACAATCACAAGTTAATGCCAAAATCAAACATAAACGCAAAACTTACGAAACTAGAATAGATCGTCGATGCCTTGATGATTAAATATGATCTTTATTGCTCAAGTATTGTTTATAAAGTGCAGCCACAGCACCCCTCGCAAGTTTTCACGAAACCCTATCTAATCTCTCAAACTTGGCTTACCCTCAAGGCATAGCCTTCCTCTCTATTTATACCGAAAACCTCCTACTCAAAGTAGAAATACAACTCATATTCCCAATAGGACTCTATTGCTGAATTTCCAAACCAATCTACAATTTCCAAATTGTAAATATCTCTTCCATATACCGCAGCTGCAGATAATCCTCTATGCATATGCTGCATGATACAGTACCATCGCTACAGTACATCAAGCACTGTAGAAACCATATAATCCTCAACAGTTTTCCTTCCGTTTTCCTTCACGAACACCAACGCTTAATGTAGAAACACCTCGTGAAGCCCGTTGCAAAGATCTCTCCCACACGGTGTCCATCCACTATGTGCCATCTCATATCCAACTTCGTCACCCATTATCACTGACCGTTTGCACCTCAACTGCTCCCTTGTCTAGTCCCGATCCCACGTTGACCGAAGTTGACCTCCAAAAATCCTAACTCTAGTCGCTTTCTCACATGGTATCCCAACCGCACTGGACATCTGCTCCTCCCTGAGCATAGTCTCGATCCTCACCATTAACCAAGACTGACCATAAGTTACCTACACACTATCAGACAACACGAATTGACTCGCATTAGCCAACTTGCGCTTCTTGCTTTCCATCTTCGGTGCTTGTCCTCCAAGCGGATCGCCTTGTCGACTAGTTTTTGGAAGTCTTCGTAGTCACCAGAGATGAGATGGATTGACAATTCATCATTCAACCCTTCAAGATATTTCTCTTGCTTCTCTTCATCGGTGCGAACGTCCTCGGGAGCATAGCGGGCCAACCTATTGAACTCGTGCAAAAATTCAGTGACGGTCCTGCCATCTTGCTTGAGTTCACGGAATTCTTTCTTCCTCAGGGCTAAAACTCCAGCAGGTACGTGAGCTCTGCGAAAAGCAATAGAGAAACGAGCCCAAGTAATAACTTGTCCAGCTGGTTGGGTGGCCTGGAAGTGGTCCCACCACTCGGAAGCAGTGCCATGCAGTTGGTGAGCGGCAAAAGCGACTTTCTCCTCATCAGTACACTAGATAAGGTCCAACTTCTTGTTAACCGCGTGCAGCCAGTCATTTGCTTCGACGGGGTTGGTTGTGTTTGAAATAGTGGGAGGCCGGACTTGGAGAAATTCCGACAGCTTTGATTGTGGTGGAGCGTGTATGGGAGCTTGAGCAGCAGGTGCTTGCGGGTTTTGCATTTGGTGGAGCAAAGCTGCGATGAGATGGTTTTGATTGGCGAGCACTTGTGCTAAGTTGGGGTGATCATGGATTGGTGGAGGTGGCGGTGGTGGTGCGTGGCCTTGGTTCTGATTCTGGTTCTGGTTCTTGTTCTGATTCTGATTCTGAGCTGAGTTCCCAGCACGAGCATTGTTAGTAGCAATACTCCTTGTGTTTACCATCTGTAGTAACCAAGATGAGAGGAAAAGAAAGAAGGGAGATATTAGGACAAGAACACGAGCTATTAAACCAACTTATTTAAATTTTATTGATGTGATGTTGGTTACATAGAGTTCAAGTTGCTTAAGCACCACAAAGGTACAGCTATATCACAACGGGTCGATATAGTCCATACCAAAAAGCACACAAGGCAACAAACTCAAGTAGAAGATAAATGATAAAAATAGACGCGTACTAAGACTACGCGTCTACTCGTCCTTTGTTGCGTTGTCGTCCACTGTCGGCTCTGACTCATCATCACCGTCATAGGAGTTGTCGTTGGAGTCATCTTCATTGGCAAGAGCCACAGTCAATCCCCTTCGCTCCAAGTAGTTCTGGACAATCACCCTGGCTGACGCTTGAGCATCGTGCACCATCGGAGGAAGGCCATCTCGCTTGCGTGTCGTGATCTTCAAGGACGGTCCAACACGGCAACGCTTAGACCCCACAACAGAGCTTCCTTCTCCAACCTGACCATGTCCGAGCTCGAGGTTACGCAATTCCCGCTTCAGGCTAGCCATCTCCAACTTCACACACAGGTTCTTCCTCCTTAGCCGTAGAATCCTACTAGAAGCTTGAATAAAACCTCTCTTCGCCATCTTGTAGTAGTCGACACGAGCATCATCATACGCCTGCACCATCTTGGCCAGGTGATCGATCGTGGTGTCGTTCTCGTGCTCGGCATCCCTGAAGGTGGCATAGTCCTCCGCCAAACTGCGAGTAGGATGATAGCGGAATGGAGTGTGTTGCAGACGTGTCCAGTGTCGTTGAAGCAGCCTGCCAATGCCCAGAAGCACCACTTCTTGGCATGCGTCGATGAAGGTGTCAGTCCCTCCCGTTAGCTCCAATGATTCCAAGCTAGGGTTGGTGGAGAGCAAGGTGGCCTTGACTGACCATCGGGGGGATGCCAACTCTTTTTCTCCTTCGTCTGGCACAGTGGTACCAACAAACTGGACTTCTTCGGTGTAGCCCAGCTCAACGATCAAGTGGCGAAGCTGCAGAACTAACCCCTTAAGTGAGACGCCATTGTAGGGGCCAAGGCTGGTCATCTATTTTTCAAAAAAACAGAACAAAGAATTAGTAAACAATTTTGCAAAGCAAGAGAGGGTGAAGATAGAATAAAAAAAGTTTCCACAATTAAAGAACTATTTTCTAAAAAAAAAATATCATCCTAAGGCTTAGACCACTTGCTCATCCTACGGTCAAGGTGGCTCTGATACCAACTTGTCACGCCCGGAAATATACACCATTTCCAAACGCTCAGTGCATTAATCCTCGTCCCAGAAGGCGAGGTACACATAGACATTGTTGATTATTACAAGCCACACTTGCGGAAATGTAAAGCAAGTACTTTATTACATGGGCGACTTAGGCCCTCACACTCAAAGATAAACAAATAAAACAGCGGAAGACTACAGAACAGGCACTTGATGGCGGAGCGAACTAGAGATCCAAGCCTTCATCTTCCTCAGGTCCATCCTCTGGATTATTTTTGTGAGCAAGACTGAGTACCACCACCGTACTCAGCAAGTCACACCGGAAATGCAACAATAATGCATAGGGTAAACAAGGAAATGGCCTAATAGGGTTTATTTTGCATAAAGCCATAGTTTAAACATTTTAATCAGGTTAAAGCTCATTCTAAAACACGATCCTGTTCTAAGCCAATATTTTCATATCATCAAGGTCGCATGAGCCTGCGAACCTGTCTTAACCCAGGCTAATCTCCACATGACTACACCATCATGATTTCACCCTCCCAAGGTTTTATAAAACAAAACTAACTTTGGGTACATTGCTCAGCTTGCCCATAACCGAGGGCGCGGCTATTCGAATAATTTTTAACTCTGATCAGAGGTGTACAACTTTACCCACAAGACACAACCTCAACACACGTTACCACGCACCGGGTACTATCACAGTACTCGAATAGAGGTCGTGACAAGACTATCCATCTAGGTCTACCCAAAACAGGAGAACCCGCTGAGGTTTCGCCGCCCGCCGGTCCCCGACAAGGTAAAGGATGCCGGATCCCCCAGGACGAGACAGGTCCCCCCTTGCACCGAGTGAAAATTGGCCTTAATCCAGGCCCCACACGCTTCCAACCAATGGTCTTTGTTTTGAGAAGATCTAAACTTCTAGTCAGGCCTTACCCACTAGACTTGTGGTTGCACGAAGATGCCTTGCAACAGAGGCCCGAAGACCGGTCCTTATATTAGCCGGGGTGTGACTACCAAAATAACCTGCTTGCACCCCAAGCCCAGCCCAAAAATATGTTTTAGTTGTACAAAGCATTTTATCACCCATCTATTGACAAACCAGTCAATAGTCCATAACTAATCCAGTTTTAGTTGTTAACCACCATAGTCTAGTTTATCCAAAAGTTCTACTTCCTCCGTTTCACAATGTAAGACTTTCTAGCATTGCCCACGTTTATTTAGATGTTAATGAATTTAGACATATGTATGTGTGTAGATTCATTAACATCTATATGTATGTGGGCAATGCTAGAAAGACATACATTGTGAAACGGAGGGAGTAGGTTGGAACTAAGCATGACTAAGCATTTACCTAAAACAACTAGTTAGTCCATCATGTAGGATACTAGACTAGTCAAGTTATAATTTTACTAGGGTTCACAATGATCATGGATATCAAATCAACATCATGGCCATAACAAAGAGCATAGGAATAACTAATAAAACAATATTAATAATGAACGGTATAATCTATAAAGCAATGCAATATAAGTAAAACCACATAATTTTCACAATATGGGATTCAACATGTTCAAGGTAGATATGACTTGCCTTCGCTCACAAAGTCTTCGGCGTCAACGGCGATGAAGAGCTGATCTTCCGGAACAGCGGGATCTACACGACCAACACGAAGAAATATAAAAAGGCTAATAAAAACCACATGAACAGAAGCGACAAAGCACATAAATGGGTTCTACTCATTTTTAAGGGGAAACTAGAGATTTGAACGGGTCGATTCTGAGTTCAAACGGTCAAGATATGGCCATTTGAAGTTTAGTTGTTATTTAAATGGAAATTTACAATTTTGTGAATTATTTTTCTAAAGGAAAACTTGAATTATTGAGAGAGAGCGCACGCGGACCGGTCCACGAGCGGGTCCCACTTGCCAGCCGCTCGATCCACCGTGAGCCGAGCACACCGAGGGCGGCTCACGGCACACCGACGCACAGGCACGACAGCAACCGAGCCAGGCGGCTCGCCGGCGACGGCCAACGGCGCGGCGGCGGTGCGACGGACTACAGGAAAGGGAAAAACGAAAAGAGGAGGAGGTGACGGTTCTCACCGAGCAGACACGGCGGCGAGAGGTCGACGGTGTTGCTGGCGGCGAGGGAGAAACGACGAGGAACTTCGGGTTGTCGGCGTCGTCGTCGTTCCCGCGGTCCTCGTGCTCGACGGAGGGGTGGACGGGGAAGAGGAGGAAGCGAAGAAGCGGATGGTGGCGACGCCGGGCTCCGACGAGGTCCGGACCACCGGCGAGGGGCGACCGGAGCTGTGACGGCGGCGGCACAAGAAGAGAGCGGCGCGGCGGCCGCGAAGAGAGGAGGGACAGAGCGGCGGTGTGTGGGGAGGGAGGAGGGAGTCGAGGGTCCCTTTTATAGGCCAGAGGGGAGGGATAAGGGTGCCGGGGAGGGAGATCGACGCCGGCCATGGTGGAGCTCACCATTGATGAACACCATCAAAATCCACCGCAAATAATGCGGGATCGAGTGTGAAATTATGGGGGAATTGGACAGGATGAGGTGGAAATTAATTCCCCTCAATTAATTTGATGAAACGGCGAGTGGAGGAGGCGAATCTGAGGTTGCCGTCGGTAGGAATTCGGCCGGAGAGAGAGAGGATGGCTGGAGGTTAGGGATGACGGGTGGGACCCACCTGTCATCGAGAGGGAGCACACCTGTCTCTGACTGGGCGCGCGAAGGAGGAATGATGGACTTAGTCCGAGGGAGAAGGAATGAGCTGGGCTGGCCCAAGGAGAGGGAGGGGGAGGGGGGAATAAGTTCACCTTGGGCTGGGCCAAGAGAGGGAGAGATGGGCTGGAAGCAGCCCAAGAGGAGGAAGGGGTTTTCTTTTAGCTTTTCCTTTTTATAAAATTCCTTTAATTGTTTTTGTTGCCTTAAAATTATTTAGGATGCTCTGAAAATTCAAGTAAAAATTGGTTACACATTTTGAAGCATGGGGAACTTATTAAAAATACCCACTAGCCAACTTGACATAAATCTTGGTGAATTTTAATTGTTGGAGGCTCTTTTAGGCTTTTTAAATTTCTAGAAATGCATTAAAGCACAATTTAAACTTAGAGCGATTTTCAGGGCGTTACACAGGCCCAGGAAGCCAATCCCGGAGCCCACGAGTCACCCTCAGCCTGGCCTCTCCTTTCATCCGCGTCGCTGGCCCACGCTGCCGTCGATGGGGACCGACTCAGCCCACGCCCTACGCTGAGGCATAGCCGCCGCTGAACTTCCACAAGCCGCGCAAGGAGAACCGGTGTCGTCCTTCCTTAAATTGGTGTTATGCATCGCCCTAACACTAACCTCTCCCTCTATAGATACCGCCGGTCGTCGCCCCTTTTCCTCCCCTTTTTTCCTGCTATTTCCACTGTCGCCGTGCCACCGACTTCGCCTCTGCCTCCTCCTACCGACACCGCAGCTAGCCAGTGCCTCGGTGCGCCGTCGCCACAGAACGATGTTGTCAATGCCGTTGTGCCGGAGCGTGCCCATGGAGCCATGGCTGCTCTTCCTCCTCCGTTGTGTAGCTGATCTGTGGGTCCCGCGACAAAAAATCCCCAAATAATCACAGCCATCCAAACCCTTGATTCAATCTCAACCATTGGATCTATTTAACCCTAGATCCATCCCTGTCAGCGCCACATCATTGCCCTGTATCACCTCATGTCCATACGCATCAGCTGAGTCCACATACACCGAGTCCACCATACTCCATAACACTGTCAGTGGGCCCCACACATATTTTCTTGTCAGAAAAAATTCAATCCCCGAAATTAAGTATCCAAAGAATATTCCCGGAATATTACTTTTTTCTTTTACCCTCAGATTTTCTCTGAATTCAAACTTCTGAAGGCTATAAATTTTCCATTCGAACTCTGATTCAATCCATTCTTCCACCTTAAGTCCTCTAAAATCGAGCTCTACGTCCTGGTTTAATTTGTTGTTTCATTTTATGTTCTTTAGTTAGATTTTTCTTTTGTTTATTTGTTTTTCGTTTGCGATCGTATAGACATTGGAGCAGAAGAGCAGTTTGTTTCAGAAGATGTCGTGCAAGACTGGGATCAACGCAAGTGCACTCTTTGAACATATTGATCCCATTTTTATCAATTGTTTTGTTTTGAATACATGCATTATTTTATTTACGAACTAATGATGGGTAGCGTAACCTAATTTTCATTATATCCTACCTTGATAACTTTTGATTACCCATGATACCTTGTCACCCTAGTCTTTGTGAGTTGAACATTAGGCTCAACAGGATGCAATGTCGTACACCCCGTAAAATAGTGAATGCTGTACAATTGGAAACTTTTTTTTTCTTGTTGTGCATTAGCTTAAATTGATTAACGTAAATTATTATTACTCCGTTATGCTCTATAGATAGTAGCAATATGAAATAACTGCATACATATATTTGTATTAACTACTCAATTATAGTTGTCTCATTTATTTCTTTCAGAGGATACCATGAAATGCAACCCTACAAAAGCATAGTGCTACCAATGATATATATGTTTGGGCTTCAAGGATAGAAACTATATCAAGGCGGCAATATATTACTATTTATTCGCTCTTACAGTTTTATAACATCGGATTGGGAAAACCATTTCATGAAAAAAAGTTTCCTGCACATGGAGACCAAGGTGTTGCCCTCAAGTATATTAGGAACCCAACCGCCGCTTTATTGGATTTAGGAGTTGGTTCCATTGTGCAACATGTGTGCTAGTAGGGGTGAAAACGGTACGGAAACCATCTTTATCGTTTTCGTTTCAATTTTTTTTCGGAATCGGAAACGCTGGATACAAAAACGGAATCGAATATTATCGAAACCGAAAACAGAGTGAAAACGAACCGGCGCGAATACGGTAACGAAAATTTATTAGAATACAAAAACCCATCAAACTGATAAATTCAATTCTCAAGTCTCAACGGTCAACAATTTATTATAAAACACAATCATATAAGTCCAATTGTTAAGTCTCAACAGTACATCACAAAACACAAATCTATGGAATAAATTATCTATATTTAAGAGAGTAATGTTGTTGATAAATCCCAATGCAGAAAAAATATATTCTTATGTAACTTCAAATTTGCATAACAAATATTTTTTTTAAAAAAATAAAAGCCAAACACCGTGGTAGATTTGCATAACAAATATTTTTTTTTAAATAAAAAAGCCAAACACCATGGTATTCACTATTCAGTGCTAAAAAAAATCCAGGGTATTCCGAGAAAATTTCCAGAAAGTTTCCGACTGATTCCACGTTCCGACAAAACTGCCCTTATCATTTTCGATTCTGTTTCTGAGAAAATATTTCCGAATTCGTTTCCATTTCCGAAAAAATTCCAACCAACAGATTCCGTTTTGGAAATAAGTCCGGAATCCGGAAAGTTTCCGTACCGTTTTCACCCCTATGTGCTAGTGGCGTCTTGTGCTTGCTTAGGTTGATTTCTGACCTGGTCATATCTTATTTCATATTCTGTAAATTGCTAGCATGCAAATATATTTCGAGCATGGGGAGCAGCTCTCCAACCCCTGGGAAAACCGGTTGATGCAATTAAGTGAAGTTACATGCTTTTAGACTCAAGTCTTAAACAGTATGGTGATGTTATGAGGTTGTGTCTTTTTAATAAGAAATGTTATGTCAGTTTACAATATAATCGCATAAATTGATATGGATCTGCACTCCAAGACGCTGTTTGTGCTAAAATACTTAATTAATATAATAAAATCATAGTACTTTTGTACATATAGAAACAGCAGAATAGAAGAAAATTTCTCATAAATATTAGCCATATAAATTTCAGCTCTTTCCAGTGGGAATATACAAGAGTGCAGTATATCGGAGATATTAAAGAGGACCATAGAATGCTCGCACCACAGCGATTCTGCGGTTTTTCGGCTGGCGTGTTCGCTTCCCGTGATGTCCACGCTGGGCGCTGGAGCTGGCAATCTTGCAAAAAAGTCCTTGATTAACTTGATAATCATTCTTAAGTCCCTCACTGTATGTTTCTGTATTTTGTATTCTTTTGTAAAAGCCCTCAATGTCTTGGTATATCCTACGTGAAGGAGACGAAATTCCAAATATAGGACCGCGCTCTGAAAAAAGGAAAGTAAGGGTGTTTTCTGCAAAACAGAACATCCCTATCCCCTCCATTCCCCTCAAACCCTAGCCACCACTGTTCACCCACCCCTTCTCTTCCTTTCCCCGCTCTTGCGCCGCCGCCGCCTTGCCTTCCCTCCCCGGCTTCTCCTCGCCAACGACAACTTGCTCCTCGCGCTCTCCCCTATCCTCCCCTTCTCCTGGTGCTCCCTCCATCACTCTCCTCCCAGTGGAGCAAGGGGACTGGGGGACTCGATGGTGCAGGATTGGATTTGGGTGCGGTGATGGAGTTTCGCCGACGACAGCCTCCCCCTCGAGCTCTCCCCTGTTCTCCCCCATCTCCTGGCACTCCCCCACCGCTCTCCTCCCAGCAAGCAGAGGGAGCGGACGGCGTGGCACTAGATCCGCGGCACGGTGATGGAGTTCGATAGTAAGGAGGTCAATCTGTTGCCTCACCCCTTGACCCATTGGGGAAGTCGTTCTGATGTGTGCAAGGGAAAAAAAGAAGAAGAAATCCCCTTCATGTTGGATCTATGCATGACTGATCTGCTTCCCGTTCTGTGTCTACCACCTGCCAGCCATGTTTTTTCTCAGATGAGTGCAAACCTTTCCTCTATTCTTGCTTGTCCATGGTCATGAGCTGCTTTTGACTTATTGCCACAATCTTAGCCGCTTGCCATCTATATATCTATATATATATAATGGTTGGAGGTCAGAGATTAATGGTATGGCCCGTGCAAATATCTACCAAGATTCATACACCTACATGCGCTGCTTAGGGACTCTGCATTTTTCTTGGTAGAACTTGAAATCTTGGTACATATATAGATGGCAAATCTTTTCCTGTAGAACTGCAAATGTTTTTTAATTAAAATTGATACCCCCATATATTTCTTGATCACTGCCTGCGAACCTCTGTAACTATTAGATTCAGCTATAACATGGGATTCTAAGTAGTGAATAAGCTGGTTATATTTGCATATTTAAATCCGATTTTTAGGTGCCATCTATCTATTTGTTGTAGTTCTCTACAGAATCAAATGCAAAATCTGAATGTTCATAACCACTTTATAATTTAGGCCAGTTTGAGGTTGCGTCATTGTGTGCCATGCCGTCGAGCACCTACACACCTGCTCTTTTTAGGTTGAATGTGCTTTGTGTTTCTATGGTTCATCCTATGAAATGATTTATTCTCTGAAAAGTTATTGTTATGCATGGACTACTTTTGTTCCAGCATGATGACCCTTCTTGGGGGTGGATCGACAGCTTGAGTAACCATGGCTGTAAAAGTTCAAGCGGAGAAAGTTGCATGGTGAATCAAATTATTTTTCTTTTTCTAGCATTCTTATATTTGCCGTGTAAAATACTGGCATATTCAGTAGATGTTTATTATGTGAAATGATGGTGAATTAAGTTTTCTTATGTTACTCAGTGCACATCAGCCAATAAAACCTGACATGCTCAGATTTTTTTCCGAGCTGGTATAATGTTGCTTTGGATGTTGGGGGTCCCTATTGACTTTGCCTGGCAAACATAACCCTGACTTGAAAATAGTGAAAACATTATTTGTGACATAACTCAAGTTACTTATTCGGGAAAACTTTATTAAATGAAAATGTATGCTCTAGACTGGATTGGGTTTAAGAGTAGGAGTTTAATTAAGTATGCAAGAAATGGTTTATGTGCTTTCATGCAATTATATTTAAGGGACTTACAATTTCATAGTTGCTGTTGATTTAAATCCAAAAAACTTCTTGCCTAGGAGACACAACTTACTCTTTTTTGCTGAGCCATTTATTTTGCATCTTCCTAGCTCTGTTAAAATTACCGTCCTCATCGGCTAATGAAAAAGCAGATTAATGTACATTACAGTTGTGTTTCTATGTACAAGAAGGTGAAAGATTGTTAAAATCTATGTTTTTCTCTTCAGTTTGCCTTCTACTCTAGGTGATACTTTGAAGTGTTGGTCAATAGATAAGTGGAATCTTTTTTCAAAAAAGAGAAAAAATGCAATCTAATTATAAATATGAATATCAAATATGATAATTGATTTTGTCTTATCTGTATAAAAAGGATTGGTTGCTGCCATAGAAGGTGCTCAAGTTTGTCAATACTGTGGGTGCTGGTTAGCTTGATGCTCTGTCGGCCGTGCGGCACCACCACTGTTTAACGATTCCAGATCTGGTGATATTGGAACCATGTGTTGTCGCCTTGCCCAGGGTCCATTTGTAGTTTGCTTCTCATGGTCACTTTTGGTGAGTTAAGCCACAACCCGTTCCTTTCTACACTCACTTATGTATGCTTGGCATGTATCTTCCATTTCCTGCCTCCAGTTCCCTCGCTAGCTTTGCTTTTTCATACACCATTATTCCCTTACAAATGATAGTCTACCTTTTTTTTTAATCAGGAATGCTACAGTATTTCTGATTTGTACTGCATATCTTTTTCTTTGGTTGTGTTTGTATATAGTTCCAACAACCAAAGCTTAGATGTTCACTCCAATGGTTTTCAGCCGAGGCAACAGCTCTGGCATAACTGCTCCCAGTAGGTGTGTTATAACCAGCTGACAGCATGCTGAAAGTGTCAACTGATTATTTTCATGAAACCACTGTGGTTCGCTCTGCTCCATTACATATTTTAAGGAGATGGTCAGGAGTCAGGACAGGGTTTGGATGGTTGATGGTTTTGCTTCATTGTGTTTTTTAAGGTGTCATCTAGCTGTTTGATATAATGTCACAGAATCAAATGCAAAATCTGAAGATTCATGACATCTTTAGATTTCAGGTCAATCTAATCTGAATTAAGACTCAAATTATAGAACATAGAAAATATTCTCTTTTTGTTTGGATTATGTTTAATAACTGCATAAGTTAGAATCACAAATCAGAACATGGAAAATTCTCTCTGATTTTTTTTTTCTTGGGCCTATGTACCAAATACCAGATATTGAAGCAGAGATTAGTCCGAAAAATGTTCTTTGTAAGCTGGTATGATTGAGGGAGCATCTAGAAGTGGATTTTAGCTGATAATTCAGTGGATTGATGTAATCAAATAGGTTTAGTAGGTGCTGTACATTGTTAATGTGTTTTTGTTCTATATGCTCCTTTCAGCTTAATTGTGCATTGTATTTCTATAGCTCTTCATCTGATATGATGTATTTTTTCGAAAGGTATTGTTATGCACGCAGATAAGTCAGACCTTTTTAGAGAGTAATAAGTGCAATCCTATTATAAATGTCAAATCCGATGACTCCTTTTTCTTATTCATGTAAAAAGGATTAGTTGCCACCATATATGATGCTAAGGTATGTCAAAACTGTAGGGGCATGTTTCTTCCTAATATGTGAAGTAGATTTTTAACTATCAAGCAACCTTGTGGCTGTGCTTTCTCATGTTATACTATGCTAAGCAGTTGCATTGCAGTTTAAGATGTATCATTTTATACCCAAATCTTTGGAAATTTGTGAACATGATGTCAATCTTTTCCTTTTAAATTAATATAAGGGATAAGAGGAAGAAACCAGGGCTGGCAGTCTTTTTTTTGTTTACCAATTTTTCCACTATGTGCAAGTGCAAAAGCATTTCATTGTCTTTTCAGAGTTCACGAAAGAACTGGGCTATCTATTTGGTAGCAGGACAGGAAGTAGGAACATTCTTTACACCTATAACTGTTTAGTAAGGAAATTTGAGGGTGCCTCTCCCTCATGAGTGAACACCATTATTTCCAGTGAAAAGGGGTAAAAAGTGATTTACCATTATACCTAACTCTGCCATTTCCACAGTGTGCTGCCTGTAATAATCTCCATGTCACATTAAACATGCGCGCGTGCACACCAGTAAAGTGTCTACTCACCTTCCAGGATTGCTAGGAACTTAATTTTACGGGCAATGAAAACCAGAAACCTGGTGCATACAAATTCTGAGTCTCCATGTGCGATTGAAGAATATTTATTTTCTTAAGTGATTGCAAACATAGTCCTTTACATTACAACTTAGTTGTGATTCATGCCCCGTAATGGAACTGAATTAACCTCTTTTAAAAGAGGATGAATGATTAAACTGTTTTTCAATACATTATTATACCTTTTCTTGCTCTTTTGGGTATTATAAATAATTGTGGTTTCTGAACTTATTAGGTATTTTTTATCTGACAGTATTCAGGGTCTATTTCAAATCATCATGTAACATCGGAATTCAAGTTATATCACAGCCTGTGCTAGAATGAAGTCCTTTCGTACTCAACATTTACCAATATAAGTGCATACATATCCTGACTTGTGATACTTTTTACCAATAACAAACGGGTAGGGCGCCGCGAAGCGCGCCTAAAGTTCTAGTATATATAACAAGAGAGTGTGAAGTTTTTATTGGATTAATCGCTTAACTTCCTATATGTATTGAAAGTTCGATAAATTCATGTTGATTTTGGTTTGAGTTTAGGCATGGAAAGTATGGGGAATTCTAGTGTCACATGCATTGCTTAATTAGCTCCAGCTTTCCAAACATCATGATCAATGTATTGGGATCTCTTTTCTTTTGACGAAATGGACACATCGACATATACATAGACCAATGTATAGTCCTAAACTCCTAATGAAGCATATGAATGCATTCATGCATAATTAGGCAGGGTCCCATGTAGCTAATTCAGAAGAGGTGAGAATAAGATGTTGATTTAGGAAGCTTACGGTGCTTCAGGACAAAAACTTGATGTTCATTAACATCGTGCAATACCTCGAGGTGTACTTCAGAGACTGGATTACTGCCGATCGAGCTTTTTCTGGAGCAGTGATAGCCAGTAAAAGAAATATAGGTTAACAAAATGGGATTATATATGCCGGCCAAAAGATCAAGGTGGACTGGGTGTCCTAAATCTTGATATCATGAATAGATGTTTGTTGAGCAAATGGCTATTCAAGCTTCTTAATGGTGATGGCCTATGGCAAGACCTTTTGCGCAACAAGTACTTAAAAGGTAAACCCCTCTCCCACATGTCACACAAACCAGGAACATCCTAATTTTGGGCTGGCCTAATGAAAGTAAAAGATCAAATTTTTCAGTATGGATCTTTTAAACCTGGTAATGGGATGGAAATAAGATTTTGGAAAGACACATGGTTGGGCTTGCAACCACTCAAATATCAATATCCTTCTCTGTACAATGTGGTTCGAAACAGACATTCTACTTTGGCAGAGGTTATGAGCACAACACCGTTGAATGTTTCATTCCGACGATCAATTATAGGACCAAAGTTAGTTGAGTGGAATGATTTGATTTCTCGACTAGCTAACATAACCTTGTCAAATGAAAAGGATTGCTTTATTTGGTCGCTACATAAAAATGGCAATTTTTCGGTCAAATCCATGTATAATGCGATCATCAATTCCAATGTAAGAATCCACAAGAGGATCTTATGGGAGGTAAAGGTACCACTAAAAATCAAAGTATTTATGTGGTTTCTTCAAAAAAAGTAATCTTGGCGAAAGATAACCTCATAAAGAGAAAATGGAGGGGAAACAAGCAATGTTGTTTTTGTAATACACAAGAGACCATCCAACATATTTTCTTTGACTGTCATGTTGCACGTTTTGCTTGGCGATGTGTCTTCTTTGCCTTCAATATTCCCCCTCCCCACAATGCAAAAGATATTTTTGGTAACTAGCTAAGGGGAGTGCCTAGACCCACAAAAAAAATGATTTTATTTGGAGCTAGTGCTCTATGTTGGTCAATTTGGCGTTGCCGTAATGATATGTTTTTAATCATAAAAAAATGCCTAACATCATGCAGGTTATCTTCATGTGTTTCAATTGGCTCCACTCTTGATGTATGATGCTTTTACAGGAACAACAGGATACTATGCGCAATGGTGCTACACGCTTGGAATTGGTAGCCAAGGAACTTTTATTCCAGTTTGCATGGCGTAGTACTTACAGAATTTCATGATAGAATCTACATGATTTTAAAAAACATGATTTTAGTAGATCATATTATCGGCAGAAGTTGGGGGTTGTCCCATCTCGCCTTTTTTAACCTCTTTTCTATTCACTTCTGGACTTTTTGGATGTGTGCCTACGGGCAGAGGCTGGAGATGTAACCCATTTCCATTATCTAAAAAAATTAACATCATGCAATTCTTCGACTTTGATAATCCAAGTATATGAGAAAGTCACTGATCATTGGAAAAACCCAAATGAGAAGCAATGTCCTTAGATTACAGAATGCTCTGTTCTGTAATAATTTCTCTTCGATTTGCTGAGAAATAGCCTCATTTCAAATGTAAATTTTCTCATGCACGGACACGATGGGTAGGTTCTGATCAACTTCCAGAGTTCCATGTAGGAGGAGGGGCTAACTTTTCTTTTTAATGCTGTTTCTCTCTCCATTTGTTTCGGAAATAATAAAATAATGGTATCGTTGTCCTCTAGCAAATTATCAAGTTTTTAGAATATCCACGAGCCGTATCATATTTTTTGGATGTCTAGCAGTAAAGACAACAAACATTAAACATTAAGTATCCTATGATAAATTTTGCCTATCTATTAACCCTCAAATCCCCCAAACTCCCTCGTCTCTCGTCTCTATGATATTTTAGGACATCCCCTATATCGATCCTAGGATAAACCGGTTTCACACTAATGGGGTTTCTCCCAAGTGATCGTTCAACGGCGTCTGCCCCTATATGGCGATGAATCTCCGGGTGCCACCACAGGTTGAAAGAATGAAAGGTGCTCCAATGTGTATTGGCATGGAACCAATTTTCGGTGTCAATAGTATGTATATAGAATTTTGCACATGCACAATTTAACGTGTTCCATTGAAATTTACTTAGAAATTGCTTCTAGGTAGGTGCATGCATATTTGTTTAATCCCTATCAAGAGGAGATGTTGCACGACATTTCATTGCTCCAACATTTGGTTTGGCTGGTCTTGAAATGCAACAAAAATGTTGGACAAGACAATGTACTGTCCACAACTGGCAGGACCGGCCGGCTGGCCCTATGTCCTATGGATCCATGTTACTACTACTCCCATCAGCATGAAGCCATGAACAGCTAGATCGATCAAGGAGGGCTGTAGCATCATTTGCACTACGACGAATTGAGCTCTACATTTTCGAATGGTTCTCGATGGCTCATCAAATTCATTTCTTTCCATGCTCTGCCTTCCCAAGATGCCAAAGTGACTTGGAGATCCTCCTAATTAAGACTATTGCATGCGTGGTCTGCTACTGTGGTTGCACGCAAAATGGATAGAATTCGACCTCACGTTGCTGTTCAGTTCCTAGAGCCTCCAATTCCCAAGACTCATCATCATGTATGGAGGCTTTTAGGATATGAATTTTCACTGAGCTTGTGATAGTTGAGGTCCTTCATAGTTTCACTCTTTCTCTCCATATATGCTGCTACACAGTTCGGCCAAAAAAAATTAATAATAGGTACCAGTATTTATATATAGAGCTTTTTGCATCTTTGAAGTTGTACAATGTGACCATGTGCAGTAATTTGTGACAAGCGTATATCATCACCGCATTGATTTGTCAACAAATGTGACCTAGGTGGCCCACTCGGCCACTCATGATGGGTCATGCTGTACACTCTAAAGAAAAAAGGAAAGTTATGTTTTAGAACCCTACGGTACGTCATACCTTCCAAGGGGACTGCACAATCAGAGCTATGACCATCATCGGCTCACAGCACTGCACTCTCGCATTCCTGAAATTCCAAACGCATCCATTGCATGTCTATGCTCACATTCTGCCTGCAGTCAAGTCATATTATGCATCATTACAGATACTGCATTTGTGTATAATTGGTAATACTGAGCAACGCTAAATACGGGTGTTTATGTTAACGGTTTTATCCGAAGTGAAAGACTGAATTTGTGGTAGCACTGATAAAATCTCTATTTGGGTAGCACTGATAATATATTATTCTAGCTTCATTTTTCTTTGTTTTTCGGTTTTTATATCATGCATAACTGGACTAACTTCATCAAATTTGGTGACACACGATTTTTGTTATATTTGTGATGAAAAAATTAAAGTAATTATGCCAAATACGGAAGTACAAAATAAAGGATCTTCGGTTCTTACATACATATCCCGTTGGGCCTTCAGGTTACATGTGTAAGTGAAACCATTTCGATGTGATGAATTATTGCAGGATCAAATTAATAATGAAAGGGGAAGCTAGCTAGTGTGATGGTTGAGCTATATGGGTACATGACTCAACCCCCTACCAATTGTTAAAATCTGAATGCCCACACAAATCATGGTACTCGACAGCAGCATTTTCCATGCAATAAAAAATAATTTAGTCATTTTTCTAAAAAGAATAATAATAATTTAGTCCTTTACTGTAATTAATATCGCATATACGCTATAGGATTTTCTTACACGGGACAATGAGATATGGCATATATATTATATTATATACTAGCAAAAGTGCCCGTGCGTTGCACCGGGTGATTACAGAGTGTGTATATTGACCAAAAGTGTTGTTTGGTTTAGCAAAAGTGCCCGTGCGTTGCACCGGGAAGTTTACAGATCAGAAAAATATGCAATTAATTAAAATACAAATTCGCTGAAATATTTGGTATTTTTAAGTAGGTATGTGTATAATTAAATAAATTTACAAGTAAAATTCTCCATTCTCCATGGTTAAATAAAATGACATGGTTAAATTTAATTTTATTAAATTCTCCATAATTAGTTACGCTCTTTGGAATTTTATTGGAATTTTCAGAGCTTAATTGCTAATTTTATTAATACAAACATCATTTAACAATTATTTAATTGGAAAAAGAAAGAAAATACTTTCTTATAGGTTTGCTTCGAAATAAACATATTCAATAGAACTATAATTGTAATGCTTCTGAAAAAATGAGCACTAAAAATGTACTTATTCTCTTTTTTTCGGCTCGAGGGACCAACAATAGACTTATTTCCGACCTATGCCGGTCGGCCCACGGCCTTTTGCGCATGCGCGGGCGCACTTTTCCTCCCCCAGGCCGCAACCTGGGCTTGGGCCGGAAAAGAGGCCTCACTCTCGATCCCTCTTGGGCCGATTTCGGCCCGGACGACACCAGCCGTCCGATCTCTAGGGTTTTGATCGGACGACCGAGCGTCAATAGTGGGGAAACAAAACCCACTCCCTCTCAGCCGCGGAACCCTAGCCCATTTCCCCCCCTCCTATCTCACTTCGCCGCCCTCTCCTCCGCGCCCCCGAGCGGCGGCGGCGACGACGGCGCCCCTCCCCCACCACCGATGGCGGCGGCGGCGGCACCCCCACCACCCACGGCGGCGTCGGCGGCATCCTCCCCCACCACCGGCGGCGGATCTAGCGGGAGGGGAGGCGCCCCGCGAGCGGCGGCGACGGCGACGGCGCCCCTCCTCCCGCGAGCGGCGGCGGCAGCACCCTCCCCCACCACCGGCGGCGGATCTAGCGGGTGGGGAGGCGCCCCGCGAGCGGCGGCGACGGCGCCCCTCCTCCCGCGAGCGGCGGCGGCGGTGGAGTCCTCCCCCACCACCGACGGTGGCGGCGGCGCTCTCCCCCACCACCGGAGAGTGCCCTCTGCCGCCGCCGCCGGCGGATCTAGCGGGAGGGGAGGCGGCGGCGGCGGTGCTCTCCCCTCCACCGGATCCACAGCGACGGCGACGGCGGCGGTTCGGCAACGACGGCGACGGCGACGGCGGCAGCGGCGGCGACCCCCTTCGATCTAATTTTTTGTTTTTATTTGGATATATGTGTGCTGGCGGCGACCCCCTTCGATCTAATTTTTTGTTTTTTTGCAAAGTGCTATAAGGCTGCATGTGATTCTTTGTTATGTGCTATGATTTTTTATACTATGTATGTATATATGCACTTGTTCTCCTGGTGATGCTAACCGAATAGAACTTGGTATAATTCAAACCAAGTCCTATTCGCCCAAACAGAAACAAAGTCCTAATCAGCTCAAACGAAAACAGATGGGAGTTTGTTTCCTATTTTTGTGGAATCGGACATATTCTTTTACCGCGTTGATGAATCGGATTCGTTCCGGTTTTTTTTCACCCGGTTTTTTTGACGGACGATGGAAGCACCTCTTATTTTTTAAGTAGTAGTAGATATGGTCTTCCTTGAGCTATAAGTGGTCTAGAGCCCAAACCGGAGTACATAAAGCGCCTCTACCACCAGCATTTTATTTTTGTCCGGTCTCGGATTCATGCTTATGGTTAGCATCCCATATGTCTCGAGCAAGAGATATCTTGGGCTTGGCAAGCATCGGGAACTAGGCCCGTCCGTACGGACGCACAAGCTGTGCGACCACGCAGCATTCCTGAAAATTAGGACGGGTCTCTTATACCACTGTTTTTTTTTTCTTGATCTTCATTGCCTTTCAACCACGTTAGGAATGCTGGCATTAATCTGATACACTTCTTTTTTTTCATCTAGATTCTCCTAGCAAACAAGCAGATATTCATTCACAACCAACGACAATTAGAGCTATATCAAAGAATCTCATCCACCTACATAGGAGTATATGTGTAGTAGCGTTTCTGCTAAGTAGAAGAAGAACTGTTACAACAATTCAATTTTCTCTTACTAAATAGAAAAATGAATTCCTATCGTCTAGAACACATGTTCATATTATCGTCACGAAATACACTTCTCAGATGTAGTTATAATTACCATCAACCATCTGTCAGAGTTGAGAAGGAAACAACTTGGTTTAGCCGATTCAGTGAACTTGGAAGAGTGAAAACTGAAAAAAAAAGGAATCTATAGATCCTAAATATATCGAAAGTAGTAGCTTAAATTCAAACACATAATTAATATTTTGCACTACAACGGTCACCCACATCTCAATCGGGCGGCAAACCTCATCGGTGTCAGATATGGCACCCATCACGGTGTAAAGGTCACTGATTGGGAAGTCATCTCTATCAGGCATAAGGCCGTCAAGGATGAACTTATCTTTGTCGGACCTAAACTGAAGCCCGTCACCGATAGGTTTGACCCAGATGACTAGTCAAACAAGAGCCCATCACCGATGACCTAATCTTAATCGGGCCACAATTAGTGCCCGTCATGTACGGATGAATACAATCCCAATCGGACCTAAACTAAAGCCCGTCATAGATGACTCAACCCAATCGGGCTTTAACTTAAACCCGTCACGGATGAGGTCATTCCCATTGGTCTTAAGTTAAAGCCCGTCACTGATGAGTATTTCCCCCGAAAGAAAATTTATTCTGTTTTTTTGGCTAGCCTCAGTCCTTTGCTAGCTATGCCCGCTGCAAAATGACAGAAACAAATATATTTCACAATATCCCATCATCCCCGTTCATATACAATCATTCACATACACATATGCCATTCACATATTTAACACATCCATTCACATACACATCCATTATTCACATATTTCACACATCCATTATTCGCATATTTCACAATAACATCTTCAAATGCTAAGCATCAAAACCTGCAAAACCGAGTTGTAAATTAGAACAAATTTATATTTAGCATTGTGAGTATATACATAAACATAACAAATATATGCATAAATATATACATTAGTGTTACAAAAAAAATATCCTACTAATTCACAAAAATTTCTAACCGGCGGAGGAGGAGGTCGAGGAAGCGAGCGTGCTCGGGGAAGGTTGTCGGCGGTGGGTGTGCTCGAGGCGTGCTCTAGGACAGCGGGGGATGGCGTGGAGGAGGTCGGTGGAGGACGGTGTCCTACTCGGGGACTGCGTGGAGGAGGTCGGTAGAGGACGGCGGGCTCGGGGACAGCAGGGGACGTCAATGCGGCGGCGCAAGGACGGCGGGGGATGACGTGGAGGAGGTCAACGGTGGCTAACGCAGGCTCGAGGATGCAGCCGGGCTCAGTGGACAATGGCGTCGCACTCCCAAACGGAGGCGCAGTGGCGGCAGGCTCCCATAGGGCGGTGGTGCTAGGGTTCAGAGAGTGGCGGGACTTAGAAAAATTTTCGATCTAGATCTGAGCGAGAGTGAACCCTAATCTAAATATGATCAAGCATTATCTCAATCGGGCTTAGTCTAGAGCCCGTCACGGTGACTCATCGGTGACGGGTCTAATAGTTATCTCAATCCGGCCTCAAGATGGAGCCTGTCACGGATGATGGACATCGGTGACAGACCTAATAGTTATCTCAATCGGGCCTCAAGTTGGAGCCCGTCACGAATGATGGACATCGGTGATGGGCTTCTGTTAAGGCCCACAAAGATATCATTGGTTCTCTATATCAGGCCTCAAGTTGGGTCCCGTCACTAATAGGTGTCATCCGTGACGGGCTCTATGCACATCTAACATGTTTGTGCGAGTAGGCATCTTTTTGCCCTGTTTGAGATGACTTCGTTGTGACGTCCCACAAAACGCAAGCATGTATGGGGTTTGTACTAGAGTAGGGGTCTGTACAAATAAGAGGAACTGTACTAGTGTTGGGGTCTCTAATTTTCAAGAGAATCTATTCTATACCACTGAGTTTATTTGAGTTCAACGATTTACCATAGACATTGTCTCTTTCTATAATATACCGGCGACTTTATCAATTGTTCTACAATACGCCATTGGGTCAGACCTTCTTTTCAAAAATACCCAAAATACCCTTAGGCTGTGTTCGCATGCACCTTTTCCCATCCCCTTCCCTTCGTTTTCCGCGTGCACGCTTTTCAAACTGCTAAACGGTGCATTTTTTGTAAAAAGTTTCTATACAAAAGTTGTTTAAAAAAATCAAATTAATCCCTTTTTGAAAAAAAAAGCTAATACTTAATTAATCACGCGTTAATGGACTGCTCCGTTTTCCGTACGCAGAAGTTGGGTTCCCATCTCCCCCATCCGAACTCAGCCTTAGAGACATATAAGATTAACAATTGATTTATCCCGTTAGAAGTTTCAAAAAAATAAGAAAATTTTTATGTGGCCTCCTTACACAACGTGGAAGTTTTATGGAATTTGTTTTTGGTATATTTAGTTTTGTAAATATACCAAAAAAATTTACAAAATTTTCAAGGTTAACAATTGATTTATCCCAAATCAAAAGGTCTAAAAAGGTCTATTTAGTTTTATGAAAATTTAGTTTTGTAAAGATATTAAATATACTAAATTTTCATGTTGTGTAAAGAAGGCCACATAAAAGTTTTCATATTATTTGAAAGTTCTAATATGATAAATCAATTGTTAACCTTGTATGTCCATGAGGGTATTTTGGGTATTTTTGAAAAGAATACCCAACCCAATGACGTATTTTCGATAAAGTCGCCGGTAAATTATAGAAAGAGACAATGTCGATGTAAAATCGTTGAACTTGTACAAAATAGAATAGATTATCTCAAAATATATTCATGTGATCATTTCCAAAGTCTGGTAAATAAGAGCGGCCAGTTCACATGGAAATCGATCGTGTCCTCGGTTTGCCGACGAGCTTGGGGTCGCCGTAGAGGACGACTTGCTCGGAGGAAAAAGATGGAGAAGAAGAAGGAAGATTTTTTTTTTTCCATTGCTGCCTTCTACCTTCTTCTCCATTATCCTCTGCTTCATACGCTGGTCCTAGGCATGACAAAATAACACTCAACCTGATTGAGTTCAGTAGTTCCTCATAGAAAATTATTGACTCTAGAGATATGGTAATATGGAGCAAACAAAATTGTTAGAAGCTTGCACAGAACCGGAAGCGCCCCTTGTTTCAAAGAGAGAGAAGGATAGGTTATTCACATTTAATTTGATGCTCATAGGCAAATTAAAAGCTAAGTAGTGGTAATTAAGACTCCAAGGGAAAATAGGATGTCTCCTACACTACCCATAATATGTGGAATTATCGACGTAATTTCATATAGTCATTCGATCTGAATGATACATGAAGAACATAAGCCAGATGATGGAACGCTGTTATATATCAGTACGTAACAGTGTCCCTAGCTAGCATCACAGTTTAAATTGAAGCGTATAGGGGTTTTAATTTGTTTAAGCTCGACCAAATGGGACCAGCGTCCAGGAAAATCTTTTGTGTACTTGCGTACTTATATGGACAGTGATTGTTTTTTCGTCCCATTTTCTTCGTTTTCTAGAATGAATATATTATAGCTTTTACACTATAACTATTTGGTTTAGTCCCACAATGATAATTGAGAGTGGAAAAAATAAACTTAAAAGATGAAAACAGTTCACACCAATAGGACTAGTTTTTTGAATTGTGTTAGCTTAGGATCCAAGTTGTGGATCTGGTTAGGAATATGGTGAAGTAGACTCAATATGATTTTACTGGCTTATGGTTGATAGCACTAGTAAAAAAACTCTTATAGGTGCCGGTTGGAAACCGGCAATAGGTGCCGGTTTCCTGGCCGACACCTTTTGGTCAGCACCAATGACCCTATGTCACTGGTGCCGGTTGTAGAACCGGCACCTTTGTGCTCTCCCAGATCAAAAAAAAGAAGAAGCCGGCTCCAAGCCGAGCCGAGCCGATGCATTCCATCACAAATCACAGATGCAATTCCCCGGTTAACAACAACAATTACATATGCAATTCCATCCGGTCAACAACAACAACAACAAAATTCTTCATAGATCAACAACAACAATCACAAGTCCCGAGTGAACAACAATCCAATCAATCACAAATCACAGATCAACAAAACAAGCAAATACACGAACTCACTCCGTTGTTGTCAATGCGCCACTGCCAATCGCAGCCAGTGTCCCTTGGCCACCGCCGCTGCCACCTCCATTTCCCTTGGCCACGGCTGTCGCCGCATGCCGCCACCGCACGTCACCGCCCCAACCAGAGAGGGAGAGGAGGAGGGAGACCGGATCTGCGCCTGGTCACCTATGGGGAGGCCGCCCACCACCTACCTTGGCCACCGTACCACCGCCGCCGGACATCGCCGCCACCAACCCACCACCCCGACCTCCCCCTCCCCAGATCTGGCCGGCTTCGATGAAGCCAACGGAGAGGGAGAGGAAGAGGCGACCGGATCTGCTCTTCCTCGTCACGGGCCGCCGCATCCATGCGTCGCTGCGAGATGGGGACGGAGGGGGGGAGCGGCCGGCTGGAGAGCAGAGCAAGCGGAGGGAGAGGGGGACTCGGCAGTGTGCTGGAGTGGGGAGGGAACATGGGAGGGCGGCGGAGGAGAAGGCGTGGGCGGGAGCGGGAGGAGGAGGAGGGGAGGGCGGTGGAGAGGAGCGCGAGGAGTCGAGACTTCTCTCGCGCGCGGATAAGGAAGAGAAGCAAGACCTACGCGCGGATAAGTTCGGAGATGAGGCCGGCTTGGCTTGCCCAGTTCGGCTCGGTTTGGTATGGGTGCCGATTTCTTAATTAACCGGCACCTGTAATATATTATTGGTGTTGGTTTTTTAATTAACCGGCACCTATAATATATTATATTATAGGTGCCGGTTCTTCTTAAAACCGGTACCTATAATATTGGTGCCAGCTTTTCCTAATGAACCGGCACCTATAATCCTTAAAGGTGTCGGTTGTATATTTTTTCAACGTGCGGATATGGGAAAAGTCTCATAGGTGCCGGTTATAAATGAACCGGCACCTATAAGGCCGGTCCCTATGAGGGTTTTTTTAGTAGTGTAGGCCGGACTACGTATTCAAACAAGTGATGTCAGAGATAATGTTCAATAATATAGAATAATTTTCATGGATCACACCCGATAACAAGTCTCTAGGATCGTTGCGTAAGACTCTGGGAGTTGGGAGTTATATGGGTTGATGTGACGGAGAAGAATATTGAGCTCGATGTGTGACGGGTTGACCTGGATAGGTCATGATAGCCTACGCCACGTCACTGACAGTAATGACTGCCACATGTGTATTCATATGATGGACTGCACACTACTCGTGGCCAAAATGTGCTGTACATAGTTGGCAAGGTGTACACTAGCAGATCGGCCACCAGCGAAAATCAATTTTCGGTCGCTGGCGGTTGTGTTATACCGGCCGTCAGCGAAAAACGATTTTCGCTGGCAGTTGCGTTATACCAGTCGCAAGCGAAAGTAGTGACCAGGTTAAAAAAAATGATGGGGCAACACCGCTCCATTCGCCTCCATCAACACCGATTCAAATTATTCCCAAATCCACTCCTCGATTCACAAATTCACAAAAATTTACATCAACAATTTACAATAAAGGCAATCAAAATTTTTCATTCACATTCCACACAAATCCACACAAATCAACAGATATTTTCCATTCACAATCCACATAAATCCACACAAATGCACACAAATCCACAGAAATCCGAGCACCACTGCCCGCGGCCCGGCGGCGTCAGTCGTGACAAGGTCGAGGCCGACGGTCGCGCTCCACCGCCCGAGGCCCCGTGGCCGTGCTCCCTGCGCCGCTGCCGGGGTGGATCCGTGCTCCCCGTGCGCGCCGCCGGGCGGATCCTTCCTCCCCGCGTCCGTCCTCCCCGACGGCAGCCTCCTCCCCTCGGACAGATATGGCGGAGGGGAGAGGAGACGATGGGAGGGCGCGGTGCCGCCTCTTCCTTCGTGGTCGCCGTCGTTGCCGCTTCCGTCGTGGTCGCCGTCGTCGCCGTCGCCAGTCACCGTGCACATCCGTGCCGCGCCCTCCCGCCCGTCGTGGTCGCCGTCGTCAGTGCCGCGCCCCTCCCAGGAGGAGGAGGTTGGGGGCGCAGGAAAGGAGGAGGGGAGAGAGGTGGGGGAGGAGGAGGAGAGGGAGGTGGGTGGGTGGGTGGGTGGGTGGAGAGGAGGAGAGGAGAGAGAGGCAGTGGGTGGGTGGGTGAGGGAAAATATCTCAGCATGCGCGTGATTTTAAATGACGTCATTTTTTTAGCGGGCTCTGTTTTTTCGCTGGTCGAACTGTTTAGTAATCGCCAGTGAAAATGTTGGTTTTCGTTGGCGGACACTTAAGAGGTCCGCATCGAAAAATAGAGTATTTTTTATGGCGGACGTCTTAACGTGGGCGCCAGAGAAAATCGGTTTTCGCTGGTGGTCCTATACCCCCAACCTCTGCTTATGTTTTTGCTAGTAGTTTTAGCATATAACCGCCAGTGAAAATTATAGTGTGACGTCATGAAAAATTATTTTTCTAGTAGTGATTATTATTGTTAAAGAGCTAAATTTTAAGTTTTTTTAAAGGACTAGTTAAGCATTGATTGTTATCGACAGTGAATATTTAGCCTCCTTTGCTACGGTTAGGTCTTACGACTTATCCCCTAACACTCTTTCAACCTCAAATCCTGGCTTCGCCACTTGGCATAGCTGATTCCCTGAATATTCTTCGCAAAGGAAAATTTGCAGCCTCCGCGGCAATGAATTTGATACAGATAGCAGCACGATACGTGCATATATAGATTGAACTGCTAATTGCCTCGTGTTATATGACCTTGGGTCCTGACCGTCCTCAAGGTAAAAGAGAAGGATTTTACACGGTGTAAACTAAGTATGGCACCAAATTATTCAGCTATATATAACAAGTTAACACGTAGATTAGTAAGTGAAACAAAACATAGATGGCAAACACATCGTGGCCACACTAGGGGGTGATGACTGACGCGACTATAAAGTTTATCGCATTGAGCACGGACGATGTACGGATGTCGTGGGCTCGATCGTGGCTAGGGCGATGATGCGAGTCTAAAGTTGGTCGCACTGAGCAGGGACGAAGGACAGCTTGCTGTTCTGCAGATCGTAGAGTACGTGCATGTTCTGCTGCTGGAAGTTGCCTAATATGATCTCGCCGCCTTCAATAACAGCAAGGCAGATGATGCGGCTACTATTACCCGCGTCGTCGTCGTCGACAACCTCGAACACGTAGTTCTCCTGGGGCAGGCGCATCGTCGCGCCCTCAAAGTGCAGCGCCATCGTCGGCACGTCCGGCTTCGGCCCCCGCAGCGGCGCGGAGAAGCAGGTGAAGGGATCCGTGGCGTTGCCGGGCACCACGGGAAGCTTCACCTGCGCGGCGAACTCTTCGCGGACGGCCCGGTAGGTGCGCGGCGGCAGCGAAGTGATGGACGTGCCGGAGTTCGATGATCGCGGCGTGCTCCGGCACCGGTAGCTGCCTCTTCGACGACCCAACGGTGATGCCCTTGAGCGACAGGTATTATAAGGTTGGATGGCGAGAGTTGTGGGTTAGAGGGGTGGTCTGGACGACGGCGGCGCCACGCCCACGGCCGTTGCTGTAGAGATTGGCAGGCAAGCCGAGCAGGACAGCGCTCGTTTTCGATCCGGTTATGGTGGTGAAGCAGTGGGAGAAGTTCCCCACCTTGAGCTGCGACGGCAGGGACAAGCTCCCGCGGCCGAAGCCAGCGATGCCGGTCTCGTTTGAGGTGAAGACCCCTCTGTTCGCGTGCCCACAGCCGAATACCAGGCCAGGCACTGCAGCCGATGATCCCTCGCCGGCGCCGGACGCGAACGTGAAGACCTCGCGGCCGAGCTCGCCTCGTGTCACCGAGCCGTCGCCGTAGGATATGCTGTAGTTGCAGGCCCAGCTAGTAGCGTCGTTGCCGCCGCCGCCGCAGGGAGGAGTAGTCTCGCTCTCGCTAGCGAAGGACACGAAGCGGAGGGGTCGAAGAGAGAAGGGTCTGGTTGAAGCAAGCGGAGGCCGGGCAGCGCTTGCACTGGGTCCAGGCGATGTCGCTGCCCGTGTCGAGCGTCAGCTGCACCTCCTGCCGCGGCGTGCCGGCGGCCAGGTGCACCAGGTATTCCGTGGTGGGGAAGCCATCGTCGTAGGCTCCCGGGTTCACGGGGGCGCTCGCCGAGCGGCCACGGCCGGCCGATTGAGCTTGAGCAGAGAGTAGATGAGTGGCCCGGGCCTTGCTGCGCTGCGCCATGCGGCGCAGAAGCTCCCAGTGGGTGAGTCCACGGCCGGCGTCCACATGCGAGAGCTGCAGCCTCAGATTTGCCGAGTCACAGTTGTAGATAGTCATTGCAAGTAGCATCAGGACACTCGCAGCAGCATGTTGCATCGTGGGTGTGGGAGGGGAAACCATTCTAATCCCTCGAGGGGATGTTTCCTCGTTTGCTCTAAAACCATCTAAACGGTTATCAAAAATTCTGAAAAAATTTGACAACATTCATACAACACATATATACAACTTCACAAAATCTTAAGTTCAAACTCAACTCACATGTCGAGATATAAAAAGGACAAATTCAGCGTATGAATAGTAGTGCACTGTTTATATCTAAATTTGTCTTTTTTGTTTCTCGATGTGTAGATCGAATTTGAACATGAATTTTGGTGGACTAATAGGTATCATTATACTCTACATTGTCAATTGTTTTTAGAATTTTTCACAACTATTTACATCGAATTTGAAAAAAAAAGATATACGAGGGGATATCCCCTTGAGGGATTAGAATCCACTCCCGTGTGGGAGTCATCCTAATTTCTTCGGGGGTCTTGTGTTTGTCAATGCAAATATTTCCTTCTTGTTTGGACATAAAACTCATGTTTTTGAGCATATACATATATAGATGTCCCGTGGCCCTGCCCTGTGCTGCATATAACTAAGGCTGTGTTCCAGAGGGATTGTCCCAGCACGCAAAATGAAGCATCTATTATTGTATGATTAATTAAGTATTTGTTATTTTTTTAAAAAAAATAGATTAATATAATTTTTTAAAGCAACTTCCTTATTGAAAAAACACGCCGTCTAGCCATTTGAAAAGCGTACACGCGAAAAATGAGGGAAAAGATTAGGGAACTATAACTCCCGAACGCAGCCTAACAGTATTGCCATATTGCCGCTAGCATCTGCAACCAGTGATCGATCGCTGATTAACTCTATGTCAACGTTGACTTAGCATACATAAACGTTGCCTCAGGTGTCCGCAAACGAGATTAGGATAGAAATTAATTAAGGGAAAGATGAGAGGGGGTGTACTTAATTATATGATGATTTACACTATCATTTACTCCCTCCATCCAAAAAAAAAGGTAAACCACGGGTTTGCGTGCCAACATTTGACTCTCCGTCTTATATGAAAATTTTTTATAATTAGTATTTTCATTGTTGTTAGATGATAAAACATGATGAATACTTTATGCGTGACTTATCTTTTTAATTTTTTTATAATTTTTTTAAATAAGACGGATGGTCAAACATTGGACACGGAAACTAGGGTTTGTTTTTGTTGGGATGGAGGGAGTATGTGGCACTCCTTGTGCTAGCTACGAAGCCTGTCATCGAGGTTAGGCAATGTAGTGTGTGGTGCGAGCTAGAGAACCAGATCGGCCGGGGCATGCTGAATGGACCTTTAGTCCTCTAGTACATCTACGAGGTATGCAGGACAATTGACATCTATTTATCATATCTATTATATACTCCCTCCTCCGTCCCACAATATAAAAGATTTTAAGTTTTTGATTATAACGTTTGACCACTCGTCTTATTTAAATTTTTTTTTGCAAATATAAAAAATAAAAAGTTGTGTTTAAAGTACTATAGATAATAAAAGTCACAAATAAAATAAATAATAATTTTAAAAAAATTGAATAAGACGAGAGGTCAAACGTTGCAAACAAAAAACTAAAAATCTCTTATATTATGGGACAGATGGAGTACTAAAAATCTATTAAACTTCCTACATACGCTCTTAAGCCACCACGTGGGGCTCCTACAAACGCTCCTAAGCTGCCATGTGGCTCTTTGATAAATCGGCAAGCCACCACGTAGGACTCCTACAAACGTTTCTAAGCTGCCACGTGGCTCTCTAATAAATCGGTAGACCCACTATTTTTATCTATTAGATTTACTTTTAGAAACCCACTATTTTTATCTATGAGATTTATTTTTAGAAAAAAAAATCCCATAATCCACCTCCTTCCCCTCTCCCCCACCAGCCCACCCTCCTCCCTATGTACGTACGTACGAATCCCTCCCCCTCCTATCCAATTTTCTCATCTCTTTATTTCTTTTAAGTTTGTTACAATTAAAAATAATAATTTTGAATAATTTCCGTAAAAAGAAATAATCATAACCTTTAAATTCCACATAAGTCTATTTTATCATTCTTCATTACCGTATTCATGGTGCTTAATTAATTAACTCATAAGAAATATTTATTTTTTATCATATCCTAACCTTAGGATGCAATTGAAGCTGTTAAAAAAATAGAAAAAACGACAATGTATATTATATGATCATGTATCACTATATAAAACATATAAATAAAATAAATATGATACATATGAAAAAATAAAAACACTCAAATCATGAGTAACATTCCAAAAAAAAATTCATCTATTATTTTAAATCATATCTGAACCTTTCGCATGCCATCCCAATAATAAAAAAATATTGTGTAGAACATAGATAATGTAGATCATATCATCATATATCATTTCACAATCATGCATAATTACATTAGCTCGGTAATATCACAAAATAAAATATAACAATAAGTTCTGATTAGCACTCCAAAAAAAACCATCATTCTAAAATATTGATATGTTAAAATAATATTATTTTTCACAAAACAAAGTAATGTTACTTAAATATTTCATGAAAATCTTCTGATATCATCATAAGTTTAATATTTAAACCAATCTACAATATCCCAAACTATAATACTCTAATTATGATTAGCACTAAAAATATTATCTCCATTTTAAAATATGAATTATGATAATAATGTAAATCTAGATATGTCCAGATAAATATTTTGATATAATTATATCTTTAATGTTTAAAGGACTAAATTTGATTAAATGAACCAGACTGATATGTCTTAATTAATTTTTATAGGAGGTGTATATGTTGATCTTTTCCTCTTGAATCTTTGGAGTTTAAGCTTAAGTTAATCTGAGTATATAGTATATAAGGCCCAGTGTACTTGACTCATACATGTCTTGCCTTATGTGTCAATTCTATGTTACACTTAAACTTTTATATCAATTCTATATATGTACTGCTATCCACCAATCATTGAGACAAGAATATTATTATATACTAAAATACCATTGAACATCATACAAACGCTGCTAAGCCGTCACATGACCTAATATTTTTAAACATTAGATTAGATGTATTAAAGTAATCCCTCCATATTAATCTCCCGTACACGTACCATGGAAAAATAAGTACTATTCATCCAAAAAAAACCTGGAAAAACATAGGTACGCACGTATGATTAAAAAATATTAATCTTTCCATCCTAATCCTTAAATTTAAAACTAAAACTTTATTATGTTTGTACCTACCTATATATGATCAGTCCATCGAGTCCTCTATGACTCCTTTCACTTTTGGTAGTAGAACTCAACTAGCCTACTTACTAATACATTTTTTTAAGTGTGTAGACAGTGAGCTAGGTGTTAAAATTGTGATTAACGTTAGTCTTGAGGGGCATGGCTACATCGATGCGGGACCATATTTCAAGGCATTGGAGAATAAAGCCTTAGCAGCTATGGCCAACTTAACACATTTGATGGGTATTTATATCTAATTTTAATGGTTGTATCTTATTAATTGGTAGAAGTGGCATTTAAAAATATTTATACATTTAGACACAAGTGAGACATGTGCACTTCGGTATGAAATGGAGATGCCTTTTTTATTGTATTAATGATATATTAAGTTTGTTTTTTAATAAGTAATTCTATCTATTAAAAAGGCACCTAGCTCTTTCAAGAGAACAATAATAAAGTAGTTGTGATAAGGGAGTTTATATATAACCAGGACATGGTGATTTATTTTTAATATGAGAGACATTCTTGTAATTTAATTTAGTGTATCAAAGTCTATGGTCAATTTTAGGGTAAAGATAAGATAATGTATGGTTTTTAAATAAAATATGGTAATATAACATCTTTTAACATTCTTTTAATGAAGAATAAATAAATTACCCGTGCATCTGCGCGGGCTTCCTCCCTAGTTATTAAAAATAGCTTTGAAAGGAACCACATCACATTCACTACGAAGGCTAGAAATTCTCATATTAACCATAAAAAAATATTTACCATCAGATTATGATGGGTCCGGATTATAACGGTATAAATTGATTGATATAGTTGTATATAACATACAATTATATCTACAGAAATAGTACTTAAGACTTAAATATGAAATCCAGACCATATAATATATTACATCCACCCGTTTCTTACATGTGAAGTAAATAGTTAACATTTAAAAAAATTGACAAGATAAATTAATATATAATATATTACTCCACAAATATGCAAAGTTCAAAATCGACTTCTACAAGTTGTAACAATTTTTTTTTTTATTTTTGTTACAACTTGTAGAAGTTGAATTTGAACTTACATGTTTGTGCATTGATATCTTACATATTAATATATTTTCTCAATTTTTTTGAATCTTTTTCTAACCATTTCATTGACATGTAATAAACGGATGGATGTTCACCCGAGTGCTTAAAAGAATTTCCCATATATAAAACCCAAATATACTTTTATAAATAATTGTGCCTATAGAAATAAAGATTTAGAGTTGTATATTCAACCTAACTCTACGTGAATTATATAGCTCTGCGCAAAATTGCAAGAGGACATCCCCTAGTTGCTAGAATAGGAAGAAAATTCTAATTATTTGTGTGATTCCATATTTCCATTGTGAAGAGTCTAACTTTAATGTCCTTGTCTAAGAAAGAATCTGATTTGTTTTGTTAATATGTACTACTACCTAAATTTGTGACCATTAATTGGATATAAAATGAACCTCGTCACTCTATTAGTTCATATAAAACTCTCCTCCCGTTCCCAAACCTTAGACACTGACCACACCCCATCACTAGTACCGCAACGCTATGCAATTGCATATTGCCTTTGGTAAGCTGCCAACAATTCCTCTCCCAAGCCTTTCTCATCCACTCCCATGATACATCATTTTTCCAAATTGTTTTTCATTCTTATATAGGACGAGATTCTCTCATGATGTCACTATTTCCTCCCTACGATGGTTACCTGGCCGAATACTACCATATTCTTCTTTTTTATTAA